TCTACAACGTGCTGGAGCGGCCCCGCGGCTGGGCCTTCGTCTACCACGTCTTCATGTGAGTTTGCGACCCTGCGCCCTTCCGCGTGTCCCCGCGCGAGCCTGGCCTCCCGGGGTACTGCCGCCCCGCCCCGGCTCCGCCTTCTGCCCCCTACCTCAGGGCCGACCCTCATCTCTCTGCCCCCAGGCCTGAGCCCCATTTCTGATCCCCTCGCTGAGCCCTACCCTAAGCCCTGATCTCCCAGGCCTGACCCTTGCTTGACCTCGCTTCTGACCTCCCCGCACCGCAACTGCTTATTTCCATCCTGACCGCCAACCTCTGCTCCTCTGTCCCAGGTACTCCCCACCGCCAGCTGCCTCCCCCGAGTCCGCTCAGCGAAGTCTGGGGCCCCTGGAGTGGGCACCCTTTTGCTCTTCCCCACCACTGCCTCCCTGTGTTCCAGACACAAAGAGGACCCCTTGGCTCCCACACGCTTCTGTCACTTGCTCCCCAGCTCTGAGCTATGAAGGGCTCCCCTCAGGGGTGCTCCTCTCCAGGGCAGCCCTCATTCCCACCCCTGGCCAGCTGACTGTGGGTGTATGGGGGTCCCCGTGGGCCACCTGGGCCCTGACACTCGCCTATGCTGTGTCCGACTTTATCTGTGTCTTCCCTCAGTCTTCCCCTCCACCCTCAACTTCCCAGTGGCAGCAGCGGCCGCCTTGCCTGCCCTGCCCTGCCCTGCCGGCTTGGCCCAGCTCGCCTGCCTTGCTGGCCTGCAGCACCAGGCCTGGCTCTAAGCACCAGGGGAAAAAGAAAGAGGAGAGGGGTAGGTTTGGAAACACTGTCGCTGCTGGGGCCCCCTCCTCCCTCTCACCAGGCTCCTACAACTTTCAGAAACACTGACTCCTCTTGGATGTAAAGAGTGAATTTTGGCAGCTCAGAGCTCAGTCTTGGGGGACGGCCTGGCCCAGCCGGGAACATGAGAGGTCCGGCAGATATCAGTTGAAGGGCTGGGCCTGACGCTGGGACGCTCAGAGATGCCCAGAGAGAGACCTCTGGTCCCTGGAAAATGTGTAGCTATTAATCCCTTTTTGCTGCCAACAGAGAGGGCCCTTTGGCGCTGGGGTCTCCTGGGTGGCCCACCTGCCTGCACACCTGACCGTCCAGCAGCCCTCCTGCTGGCCTGGCTGTCCCTCTGCCAGCCTGAGTTTCCACCTGTGTGCAAGTTGGCCAGTCTGCTCATCTCTCCACCTAACTGTCCGCAGTCCTTCTGCTTGCCTGTTTCCATCCATCTGTGGCCTATGCAGTTATCTGGGTGCCTGTCTGTGCATCTGCCTATCCACCTGTCCACCTGACTGTGCACTCTTCCTCTACCTCTCTTTTCCACCTGTCTCTGGGTCTGTCCTTCCGCCTGTCGCTTGGGTGCCTGCTGGCCTGCCTCTGCCCCATCTGAACTGGGCCCACAGAATTTCAGAGGTGAAGGGGAGAAAGATGCGGCACAGGGAGGGGCAGGGTGGGAAAGAGGACTCTGTCGGCCATTAAGTGCGTTGGGGGTGGCAGCCTTGACTCTGTGCAGAGATCTCAGCTGGGCTAGCCCAGGGCAGAGAGTTGAAATTGCTCAGGACATGAGGTCAAGCTTTGGTTCAGGGTCAACGGTTAGAAGTAGCCCAGCCCTTAGTGCCCATTGGGAGGCCTAGGATGAATGTTTGTGGCTATAAAGAGGCCTGTTGGAGTGAGGAAGGCCCAGGGCTGGTGGGGTTGGGGGTGAGGGGATGGGGACTGCTCCTTAGGAGTGGCTGAGTGCCCAAGGAGGGTGAGACACCCCCCAGAGAACAACTGTGCCCTCCGTGGGCTCCTCTTGAGAAGTGACTTTTCCAAGGCATGGCTGGGCCTGGGGAAGCCAATAGGGCTCTGAGGTTGGGTCCTTATCCCCCAGGCTTGGCCTCATGGCCCCCACGAGGGTCAGTGGAGGTGAAGGACCTGCCTCCCGTCCCCTGCCAGGCGCTATGGTTGCCTCCTTTGAAAGGACCGCCCCTTCCTCTCCAGGAGCTAATCCACTGGCACCTTTGCCCCACATCCTGCCCTTTCCCAATGCCAGGAAATGCCCTCGCCAGGGCCGTGCTTGTCCTGACCACTTTTCCCCGGGAGCCCAGGGCCAGGGCATGTCTTGGGAGCTCTAGGGGAGGAAGTATGGTGTGAAAGCGCCCTGGTGTTTAAGGATCTCAGGGAATTGGTCACCCATCTTAGAGGTCAAAGGGAGCAGAGGTGTCAGGAACCCCACCTCTTGTGTGCTCTGTGACGTTGGGTTGATCGCTGTGCCTCTCTGAGCTTTAGGTCTATAGGTCGTCAAAGCGGGTAGAGGCCCCAACCTTGCGGCTCTCTCTGATGAGGTAATGGAGTGGAAAAGAGCTTGGTAAGCTGCGGGGGCCTGTCTGAGCGTGAGAGATGGTTGTTCTTATTGGGACTAGGGGAGGGGGCCCACACGGAAGGTCTCTCTTGTTTTTGAGGAGCTCCAGATGTGGGGTTTCTCAGTCACACTGCAGGGTCTTGCCAGGAAGTACTTCCTGCTGTTGGACTCCTAGCTTGACCACTACACTTTTGGTCAAATCCTTTCTCTTCTTCCCAATCTCCCTCAGTGGCAGCCCAAGTGAGGGGAGTCCAGGGAGTACCGTTAGCTAGGACCCCCTTCCCAGAGATGCAGGCTGTGGCAGGAGGGGCCCCAGCAGAAGAGCCTGCAAGAGAAGGGCTCTGAGCTGGGCGTGGTGGCTCTCGCCTATAATCCCAGCACTGTGGGAGGCTGAGGTGGGAGGATCGCTTGAGCCTAGGAGTTCCAGACCAGCCTGGGCAACATGGTGAGACCCCTGACTCTACAAAATTTAAAAATTAGCTGGGCATGGTGCTGCACACCTGTAGTCACAGCTACTTGGGAGGCTGAAGTGGGAGGACCACTTGAGCCCAGGAATTCTAGGCTATTGTGAACTGTGATTGCGCCACTGCATTCCAGCCTGAGTGACCGGATGAAACCTTGTCAATTAAAAAGAGAGAGAGAGAAGGGCTCAGGAAGGAGGGAGCTGGGGCGAGAGGAGCCCATTCCCCCTAGGGTATGCCTCCCTCCCATCTGCCAGCCGGTCCCCTCTGAGCCCCACACAGAACCTACATCTTTCTGGCTCCAAGAGGTGGAAGATTGCCTAGAGTACAAGCCCGGATTCGGCCTGTCCTGCGGCAGCTGCGACCTCTGGGAAGAGAGGACTGCTGACTCCTGTCTTCTCCTGTTGGGATCCAGAATGAGGGGCCACTGGGCCCCTCTCCAAGTTTTCCCTCTCTAGACCCTCAGTCTGGTCACCAAACCCCATCCCGCTCCTACGCCCCCATCCCTGATTTAAGCCCTCAAGCCTTCACAGACCCTGCTCTCTGAATTTTAAGAAACATCACCTGGTGGCCCATCCTGCTCACTAAGCCCTTGAGGGGAATGCTCTCAGTCCCCTTGCTGCCCCCTCTCAGCTTCCCTTGAAGTCAGAGTGCTGGAGGGGGCTGGGCCAGACCCTATCTCCTTCCATCCTCCCCAGCCACTATGAGCCGCATGCCTGCTGCTCCCAGCCCCCAGGGCCCAGCAGACTTTCTCTATGTGAAGGTTTGCGGCTCTGTAAACATCCTCCCTCAGCCTTGTCCCTGGGGTCAGAAGCTGTGGGAATGGGGAGGGGAGGAGGTGGCAGCAGCTTCTGGGGCCCGCAGACTCCTAACCCCGAAGCCCCTGACCTCCCACCCCGGCCATCTGAGAAAGAACATCGCCTGGGTTGGAAATCATCCCAGCAAAGGGTCCTCAGAACCCTCAGGCATCCCCACTAGGCCAGTCGGTCCTCACATTTTGACAGCCCCATTTTACTTGTAAGGAAACTGAGGTTCTGGAGTCCAAAGTCACCTGGGAAATGAGTAGCAGATACAGCGGACTCTGTGCAGAGACCTCAGCTGGGCTAGGCCGGGGCAGAGAGTTGAAATTGTTCCTGCTTCCCTGTGCGGGACTGTTCTCTGTTCCTAGTGGCCACCAGGCTTGGCTCTTGGAGTCTGAACTGAAATCTCTGGTCGTGTGTGCAGCACCAGCTGCACCGTGGCACCGTGTTGAACTCTCTCTAAACCGGTCTCATTGTGTCCTTCTGCAGCCTTGTGAGGTGGGCACTGTTGTCCTCCTCTTTTGACAGATGGGGAAACTGGGACTCAGCAGAGGCCACCCAGTTAATGTGGAAGAGCCTCAGCCCAGAGCGGGGACAAACTGGGAGCTGTTGCTCTCCGCACCACAGCCTCAGCTAGCAGCACCCCAAGCCCAGGCTCTTCAAGAACAGCGCTCCTGTGTCATCTGTCTATCCATCCCCAGCACCCTGCACACAGTCAGCACGAGGTGGGCTGTGATGGCATTTTGTGGAATTGAGTGGAAACTGCCAGCCTCACCCACTGCAGCCACGTTTTAGTTGTAGACCCACGTCACTGCCGCGTACCTGTCTGAATGTCTCACACACACACTCAATGCAACATCGACACACAAACCCAAACACACACATAGCATCCATCCAACAAAGAGTTCTAGCTTACAGCTGCCCCTGCCTTTTCCCTGACTTCATAGACACTCGCCATAGACACACACCCGGGCCTGTGGCTCCAGCCCAGACCCCTAGGACAGAACAAAGCTTGCTCCTGTCCTTGAGTTTTTGGCCTTCACCTATACACAACTGCAGGGCTGCCCTTGCGGGTCTGTGTGTATTTTCGTAGCCATCCTGGGGGGCAGCCTCAGAACTGTGGAGGAGTGGGGTGGCTGGCTTCCTAGAACTTCGCTGGCCTTTGCTCCTCCTGGAGGGCCCTTGGAGGTCCTTCGATCTGACCTTGTGGTGTACTGCTGGGTACACCAAGACGTAGAAAGGGGCAGCTGCTCATCCAAGGTCACACCTAGTGAGTTCGTGGAGAACTGTGCCAGGAACCCAAGCCTTTTGTCTCCCAGATCAGGACTTTAGATAACAATTTTCCCAACCTAGCCAATAGGGGGGATGGATGCTCTAAGAACTTTGCCTTGTGATTAGGAAAGTCTTTGA